TCTTGTACTGTTGGTACACCATGGTATTTGATTATTTTTGTTTATTTAATTTCACTGACTTTTATAATTTTCCTAAACTTTTATGCTTTTGATTAAAACGTCTGCTGTAAATTATTGCCGGTTAAATTAAAACGGCTAAAAAAATTTCTATTTTTGGTCAAACATGACCTTTATTGCCAAAAGTTCTGCTTAGACTAAAATTACAATTTTTATTATCAATTATTTATAACTTAAAAGTTACTTATGTTAGCACTATTGATGTGTCACGTTACTCCGCGKGTGCCGGATGTTGATTGCAATTGTTGCAATGGTTGCATTATTGGTGGTTAGCCTGGCTGTAGTTTATACTGCCCGTGCCGGATGTTGTTGGTTAATTGCTTATCCAGCATTATTCTGCTTACCGCAGTTAACTTTAATGTTGCTAACTTGTACAAGTCCTCTTGGTTTATCCTTATGTTTTGGCAATAAAGTTGTGTACACCAATTTCAGCGTTTTTAAAACATGCAGTGTCCTCTTTGGTAGGGAGTAAAATGTGAGTGGTTGTATTTTCGCTGATGTTGGTGGTTCACATTCTAGACGGTTGGAAGCGCTTCCACTTAATGTGAAATTGATCCATTTACAAATTTGTTGATGGCTTTTGTGTTTTTATTGAAATCTCTGTTTTGTCTCCCTTATGTTTTCTTTCTTATTCTTTGTTTGCAAAATCTTTAGTTTTCACTATTCTACATTTGAACAGAATATCTATAAATATTGATTCCTTTGCGTATTGTTTAAATGAAACGAGGAGTTTGGAGTTTTATATTATTGAGCCTTTTAATTCAAGTTTTCTTATGGGCTGCGTACAAACAACTGAACTGAGTAGAAATTGAAAGTATATCGTAAACTGTAAATAGATGCATGGAATGGAACAATTCGAGGTTGCACTAAATAGTAATATATAAAATATACGTTGGTAGTCTAAACTACTTCGTTGCGCCAACACGTATTGTAAGTAAACGAATCTGTTAGCGTACATTCCGTAACATTTAATTAGCATTATGTTCGTCAGTTGACATTGAGATAATTTCGATGTTAAACTGTGGTGAAATACGCTCAGCGTAAAGAGTAGTCCTGCGAAAAGTGTGCTATTTTACAATCGGCACACCACGAACCCTCTATATAT